AAAAATAAGTACAAGAAGAATAAGCACAATAAGAATAATAAGAATAAGAAGAAGAATAAAAATAATAGTAATAACAGCAGAAGACTACTGCCACTCCTTCACAAGCTATGTCGAGGCAATCTGCGCGAAACTCTCCACTCGGAGGGTAAGCCGTGGTGAAGTGAGGATAAGAGAGGCTTCCAGTTCCAAGTTTCGTGGCTAGGAGGTAACGGTTTAGTGTTTAGGATTTAGGGGTTTAGGGCTTAGGGTTTAGGGTGGTTCCTAATTAATGTCGGTCGGAACACCGCACGTCGCGCTTGTACAGCTCGAACAAGTACAGTGTCTCCAAATCGAAGGGCAAGGGGATGTCCTGTGCACGGCTGCCATACAGCGAGCCCCCACTACCCACTACTGCAACTATTGTGGTTCTCATGTCTCTGTTTGCTTCAGTTCTCGTGCCTACCAACCATACAGTCATGGCTCAATTGTATTTGGCAAAGCTGGACCTCTCATGCCAAGGTTCAATTTAACATCCTGTAAATAACTGCCCACATTTAGCTTCAATTTTAATGTCAAGGTGGCGTGTTTGAACGGAAATATAGTTCGCAGCCATGCTTTAGATTAAAGGTGGCCTCGATGCTGGTTCATGCCCACAGCACTTGCATGCTGTGCGGGTGATAGGAGCAGCAACAGCCCCCTTCCTGCACAACGGACATAAAGTTTGGTTCCAGCCTGATAAAAGAACCACTTCCCGAGCCATTATCGTGCGCGTGCCATCAAAACAGCTAGACATCACAAGGCGAAACAAAATCAGCTTTGTCAAAACCATGGCCATGAGCAGCTCTAGACCAAGAGCAGTGGGACATGATTAGCATCATCATCACGCTTAGAGCAGGTCGCTGCTAGTGAGCTAGTGTCCTTCTTGTTCGCCGCCATGAATGCAGCGAGATCTGCTTGCAACACACGTCAACACCTAATCACTGCCACCACCATCGACCACCAAGCCCTACATGAACATCATCATCGTCTTCATCAAAACAATCTTCCAGGCAGAGGGCATCGTCGCAGCAACCTTGACACCGCCAACCACCACCACCACCACCACCCCCAGCAGCATCCCCGACCTTGCGCATGCCTTTCCATGGCAAATTGCCCATTCCGAGAGTCGCTCAACAAGTTCCAGTTCTTGAGCTGTCACTTACACCAATCGGCCTGAGTCAAGAACCGATGCAGCCCTGGACAGCTGAGTCCTCGTTGCAAACGACCCGCATCAGGCCTCGCGTTCGCGAAAAGTTGCCTCAATCCTCGGGAACCTCAAGACCTGCCAATAATGTAGGGGGCCTTAATAATTACAACAGGGTTTTGGGGCATGTTAAGCTGTAATTATAACGAGGAACCCCCAAAAGAAGATAGGTAAATATTGAAGCCCCTATATTACAATAAGTTCTGGGTTGCCTGCCAATCCCCGACAAACTCCACTGTCCGTAGCTGTAACAACTTCCCCCCTACACTGGGAGGAAGTTGAAACAGAAAGTACTAATAATTTCCCCTCCTACACCACGGGGGGCCCCTGTGACGATGGGGAGGATTTTGACTTATTGGCGTCTCTCTCTCCGAAAAGCCCAGCTCCCAAACTAAACAAGTGATTGAAAAAGCACGCAAAAGCTCCGGTGATCCTTGTAATAACCTCCGCTGTAAGAAACCTTCGAGAATCGAATGTGACTAGCTTCCGGCTGTTAGGCTATGTAGCAGCATGACACCTCTTCCTCAAAAGAAAGAGGGAAGACAACTGCAAACTAAGCGTTGCGTGTATATAATACATACGACATACACATACTCGTATATACATATATACAGTTTGTACACACATACATCAACATTTACCTCTACATCTACATCTGCATCTACATCTATAGCTATGTATACGTATACACATATGTATATGTATGTGCATATGTACACGTACGCATATACGAATACATCTATCCATCCATGCAACCATCCATGCATGCATGCATACCTACTCTATGTGTGAACTTCTCTGCTTCTGGTGTGCGCGCTTGCTTACATCCATGTTTCAACTGCTGCAGTGCTACGCACGATCAGCGCAGCCGTCCGGGCGATCGCCCAAAGAAGAGTTACAATCCTTGCAACCTTGCGGCCCAAGAAGTGCCAGCCGCTCACCAGTAAGGTACCCGCCAGGAGTCCCAAGGGAACCCAGAGCCACACAATCCCACAGCAACAGCCTCGGTCCATTCAACTACCATCACAACTACTGGACTCGCAGACGAACTACGACTGAACTCCACGAATGACGGCAAGCCGGAGAATGACAAGCACACAAAAAAGCAACACGCCTACAAGCAGCAACAACAGCAAACAGCAGCAGCAGCGGCAGCGGCAGCAACAACAAACCACAACGACAACAACGATGACGACGACGACCATCACAACAGCAACAACGACGACGACAACAGCAACGACAGCAGCAACAACAACAGCAAAAGCAAACAACAAACACCAATCAGCAACCAACAACCAAAAGAGTTCCGCCTAGGGCTTTCGGATGCTTGGCTTCCGCGCATACTGCGAAACAGAAACCACACACACCTCGTGGCTGCCGAGCACAGAGTTTAGGGCACCGAAAAATGGTCAGGCATGAAAGCTTTAGGGCCGCAATATCGGCCCGACACTGCGGGATCCCTACGATGACCTCAAAAATAATGAGGCACCCACCTTCCTATGGAAACAAAGCTACATGGGAGTTTCAGAAAATTAGGGTACCTTATTTTGGGGGGTCCTTATAAGAGGGATCCTATTAATTAGTGTACTATATTAGGGTCCCCTATTTTCGGAAACCCCCACATCAGCCTTCAGGGATGGAAGGTCGTGGGAGCGGACAGATCAGGTGAGCAGTCAAGTAGTAGGCATGAAACATCATGAAACTAGGAGGTGATACAGGCTTCGTCTGCTCCATACGCAGATCTAGAGCTGCCGTTCTGTGGGAGAACCATGCAATCCATGTTAGGTCAGGTTGGCCCCGACTGGGAGCCTACAATCGAACAAAGTAGAAACAGTTCCAGTCTTCTCGTGACTAGCATCTACTGTCTACCGCAGACTTCTACTGCATGCTCATGGCCAGCAAGTGCTTTGTGCTGAAAGGGAGCAACACATCAACTGACAAGGCCTTTTCGTCTTCAGCTAAATCAGTCAAGGACGCACGCGGAAATCCGCATCAGGACGCTGCTGCAGCTTCGGCCGTTGGAGAAATCGCTTTGCAAAACCCTACAGTCCCGTAAGCCAAAATTTCGAAAATTGCAGCGCAAAATCTCAAAGCAAATGCTGGGCACCTGCTTCGATTTAGGATCGAAGGCTCCCGCAACAGGTTTAAACACAAGAGGGAAGTTGTCGTGCTAGAGGCATCTAGATGCTAGATCTGGGCTTCATGGTCTGGCATGAAGGCAAACAGCCATGAATGCAACTTTCTGAGTACCAAAAGGTCTTGTTGCAGGATACTACGGCAATTACTCCAAATGTCAATGCTCCTGCGTTCGACTCCCAGAAGCCCAGAGTTTGATAGTTTTCAAAAACTCATCGGCCCGAGTCCGGAGACTGGAAGACTCTTCCCATAGGCCCATAGTAATTCCTTTTTGGGGTGGGTTTAGGGTTTAGGGTTTAGGGTTTAGGTTCATATGTAGAATCATATAAGGTAATCCCACGAAGGAACTACTATGGGGCCCATGGGTTGTTTGCGGCCAGGATCGCTGGAACCCTTGCTTATGGCTCTACTCCTTCGTAGGGCTCATCGAGCTTGGATTGGGGAGTCCGTGAAGAGGGCACAATGAGAATGAGGCTTCGAGGTATCCCTGGGGATCCAAATGGCGCAAAGTAGGTATCATTCATTTACAGACTTTAGATCCCAACGAAAGTAGCATTTGTGGACTTGGAGCCCTGGAGTATATTATTATACTATATCTAAGGGCCATCCATCCCAGGAGAAACGGGCTCCATTTCAATGGCACAACGCCAACTTCGTGCAACGACTCGAGTGGGTGCGTCTGGCTTTATGCATCGACGCAACATAGTGTAACGCAACTCTGTCCGTCCCATGGGCTCTTTAGAACTTGCCACGTCGCCTCTGCACATGCTCCTGGAAAGCATCTGGGTGCTTGGCGACACTTGCCAGGTAGGCATTGAGTTCCTCCATAGCAGTGCTTTAAGATGCAGGCTCCGTCTGTGTGGTTGGGCGGGTTCGGTGACAATCAAAGCACTACGGTACCACGCTCTACTGGTTTTACGCTGTCAACGGACAAGGCTTCAAGAAATTCGGATTAAGCGGCTACGAGTACGCAGAGTGCTTCACAGAAAACGGGGTTTCTTCATACTTCCCAAGATATCCCGGGCTCGCTCTCCTCCACGTGCTGGTCATGCCTGTCACGGTTCGGAGGTCTCGCAGCCCTCAGGACCTTCGCTGGAGGAGAGGCCACAGGTGAATCGGCGCCAAAGGCAGCGGGTATCTCCAGCACTCCATCTCGACTTCCACTGCACCCCATGGCCCTGTAGGCCAATCGTAGCAGGGCCTGAAGAGCTTGAGCCAATGATCAGTTGTCGAGCTTCCTGCGGATAAACAAAACCGACATACCAACGGATTGACCTAGGACGCCAGCCTGAACCCGTTCCTGGGACCGCCTCGTCCACCTGTCCCTGTGCAGCCAAAGTTCAACTGTGAGCTCTGACACTCGGAAGGCCAACATGATAGTAGAGTTTCATTCAGGGCAAACGCATCCACAACAAACCCACCCAGGGGATTGCAATGCAGCCCCTAAACGCCTCCAGAAACTAGGCCAGAAACAAAGTAGGGTTTGCGGCTTTTTGAAGCTCAGGATGCAAAGTATGGGGATTTCGGAACGTAGAGCCTGGCGAAGGACCCGCGATAGAATAATCCCCAGCATGGGGGGGGCGCGGGTTTTGGGGCTTGGGTTGAGAAAGCCCACATGATATACTATAGCTCGCCGAGGTGCTCACGCAGCAGACAGGTAAAATCATGATGGAGCCAATGCCCACGGCCTTCCGATCGAAGGTATATGCCTGGTACCTGAGTTTAGGGTTTAGGATTTAGACTCTCGCAACTCAGGCGAGGATTTAGGGATTAGGGTTTAGGGTTTACAGGATGAGCCCAAGGCTGGCGAGCTGATCCAGAGTTTTGGCTTCGACTCGATTCCCAATGTGGAGTTTCAATAGAATCTACCACCAAAGAGCCCTTGTTCTAGTGCTTCAGGCCGTGGTATCCGCTCTTACAAGTTGTTGGGCCTATGCGGGTTCTTAGTACAAGTAGTAGAGAGAAGCGAGCTTGAATGCATTTGGTGCTCCCATATACCCCCTAAGCCGTAAACCCTAAACGCCTATGGAACCACACAGGTCTGCAGTGTTTCTTGGAGCTCGGGCTTATGGAGATGAGGCTAGTGACCTCATTCAACAAAAAGTCGGGGGGAGGCGCTTCCCAGAAATTCCCCAGACCCTAAACCCAAAACACCCCAAACCCAAACCCCCAAACCCAAACCCCCAAACCCTAAACATCCCAAAGTTTCGCAACTCCGAGCCCCGACGTGCCGAAACCGTTGGATCCTGTACGGCTTTTTGACACTCGTTTTAGGGTTTAGGGGTTTAGGGTTTAGGGTTTAGGGGTATTCCTGGCAAGGTCTGTAGCGATACTGGTCCAACGACTTACTCGGCTCGTGTCGCTAAGCACAACTAGGGACGAGTTGGCTGTCAGGCAGGGCGAGAGATACGACAACCACCTGTACCGCTGAAGGTTTCGGGTTTAAAGTTTAGGGGCTTAGGGTTTAGATCTTGCAACCCTCAAAAGCATCGTAGCTTTCCTTCTAAGTGAAGCCCTAGCAACACCCCACAACACCCCGGTCCCCGACATAGAACCCATGTAACACGACGGCCAGAACAACGGAGCTGGACCGGCGACCCAGCTGAGCAGTAGGTAAGAAAACCCCACGCCCTGAACACTATGTGGGGCACTCAAATATCGACCCTGGTGAATAGTTATTACCACGACCCCTAAATAATGCAGAGCCCCTAGGATAATCAAAACCACCTGTGTAACTCCTAAACCCCTTTTTGCGGCAGGCTTGCAAGCAAAACCGCCTGGTAAGTAGTCACTCTTAATCCCAAACCCCTAAGCCCTGAAAATACTGAGACTATAAAATCCCTGGTCCCTCTCAGATCCCCCTGTTTTTCAAGGAACCATGTAATATAGGAACCATAACAAGGACCCATGGAAGGTAAGTTTTGGGGGCTACAGGTAATTAAGGCCCAGATGAAGCACCCTAAACCCTTTTTTTTGAACCCAGACTCTGCCAGCACCCTAAACCCTAAACCCTAAACCAGCCGGAGCACCTGCAGGCCCAGATGAAACCTGGAAGCCAGAGCGTGGCTGCCAGCAAGGCCCCAAACCAAGGGCTCCCCGCAACCAGCTCCTCTGGGTCTTCGGGTCTTCGGGTTTGCGGTTTAGGGGTTTAG